TCCCTACACCACATCTCCTGGCCTCTCCTTGCTCCGTTCTAGTCCTGCCCAGACAAAAATCACAGAGCACAAGAAACTTTAAGACCTCATAAGAAACCTCACTTAAGCGCAAAACAGCAATTACAGCTGAGCATCAGGGATGACAGCACAACACAGGCTTTTGCTCTACGTCAGGATAAGCCAGAGCTGTCACAAGAGAGCAGCAGCTTTGCCTACTCACTACCCCAACCACTGTTTCCCCCTCATAGCCCATGCCACCCCTTGTATCTCTCTGTTTACAAGGTGAACTGAGAACAGTCAGACATTCAAGATGATACACACGTCAATCAAAAGCTAAGAGGTATGTTGGAACTGAGCCAACAGAACAACCTGTGGACATTTTGGCACTTTAGGGAATATCTGCTGGGTGTTTGTACACTCAGATTTTATAAAAAGATTTTTCACCTTGCTCAGCTTTAGGGAGGTTTCTATCCCTACCAGGAACAGCTGAAGTCAGACTGACAACACAAGGGCACCCTTTACCAAAAATCAAGTCTCTGCTTAAGAAGATTAGAGCACTACTACACCCCAAAGAATGGATGACCAGAAAATACGTCACTAAGAACAATGCTTTCCCCCGCCGCCAACATCATTCCAAATGCAGTTGAACAATCATTTGAGCTGTACTTTTCCTTTAAGTTTTATAGGCTTTACTCATCAGCATTATCAAATTAGCATCCTTCTTTAGGCTGCAGTGCAAATTTTATGCATTTGGTTGCTTCTGGCATCAGTCTGCAAAGTAAACAATCTCAAATAGGTGCTGGAGTTACAAGAAAGGTAAGGAAGGAGAAGCAGGACCATGCATGAAGGCAGTATTCAAAGCAGTAGTCTCCTAACAAGTTACCAAGTATGTAATTCGTTACATTCAATATCAATTCATGGACTCCTACTGTTTTATATTAACCTTAGCCATCTTTCTTTTTCTGTTGCCTGGTTTCTTTAATTATTTCAAAGGGATTTTGGAAAACCTAATAACATATGACAATTTTCTTCCTTCTATTTATTTCTGTTGATCTGCAGAGAAACATTACACTAAATGTAGCAGACATCGATTCCCTTTGCAGTTGCTGGTTATTTGTTGCAGAGCCAAGCAGCACTGTATCCCATTCAATTTGCCTTTTCACCACATTTTAGCATATTGTCAAAAGTCTCCTATTACTACCAGCCACTCCTGAGTTTTTCCTCTTAAGATTTCTACATTGTTATAGCACAATTTTACAGGTTTTCATTACTGAAAAGTGCTAATAAAAATATTCTGTAGCACACATTAATCCTACCATTAAACTACCTCAAACTGACCTGCTATTTATTTCTGAGCTGCTATTTATGCCTTTTCCCTTTCTAACTTCCCTTCCTCTCTAGTTACCTTTCTATCATATCCCTTACAGAGCTTATTATCCCATCGGTTTCTTTTCCATTGTTTGTCTTCCTTCTCTTGGCTCAGTAAACCTAAACAAATTTTCATTTATACATAATGATTTTATCACCACTTGTTGGACAGTAGATGCAAGAGTTAACACCAAAACCAGCCTGGAGAGTCGCAGTACAGCCTTTAGAGATTAAATATTTATTTCCTCTACCAGGACTGAAGAGGATAAACAAGTCAGTCACAGAAGTCAGTGCCTAGAATGGCACCCAATGTATTTTTAAAAATCCTGAGCAGCTTAACTGTATGACCCCCTGCAGCAAAGAATGCCATAAGTAGCACAAACAATTTCTTTCTGTTAAACTTTAACAAGAGTTCCTTCTTGTTACGACTCAAATAGGGAGCTTTTCAGTTTGTATCATCACTCACAGCTTCCCCTCCGTTCTCTCTTGACTACTTATACCTGCTCTTTCTAAGTGCCCATTTTATGTATACCCCCTAATGCCCACCCATTTCTACGAACCAACTTCAGATAGGCCACGTTTGCTCTACTGCAAAGACTTACCAAAAAGGCATTAAGCAAATAAGAATCTTTACCAAGGAAACAACATCAGTGTTGGCAAAAATTCT